TGTTACGCTCATGGTGTTTTTCAGCAAATATTTGACGCCAAAATAATAGGTGCGTACGGCCCATATTATGGTGGACGATCACTTATAACTCAAATTTGTTCGTTGTTTTTGCTGAGTCTGATTTTTCGAAGTTGGTTGACCACAAAATTTCGATCATCAATCAATGCTCGCAAATTCAATGAATCATCGTTGAAATCCCCCTTGCAATATGAATTGGTCGGCATTGACACGCTAAGACGCAATAATTCTGATTGTATCAAATTCTCTGCGGCCTCATGGTCTGGAAAGCGTGCATGATACCGATCACGGCCGTGATGTTTCACTTCTTATTTATGCTATTTGTGTTGTGGATTCCAGGTCGGTAAGGATGTGTTGGTGTGTTCTCTTGCTGTTTCATCGCTTGCATTTCCATTTCCAACTGAAATAGTTGGTCGTAGAATTCACTGCCATTCCAAATTTTATTGGTGACGATCGGGACAATGTCTCCAATACCGACACACGCTTCAATATCCTTTTGTATAGGGGTTATTTACGGTGTTGAGGTCTTCTCTCGGGATCTCATTTTGTTTGGTAGCCGTGATGTCACTTCGTATCGGTTCCAACAATTGCTTGTTGAATATGGTTTTGAATGTTTCGGAACTCAAGGCCCCCAGCACGGTATTCATATTTTTGATGATATTCTCGTCTGCTTCATTCAGCCGCTCTTCAAAGAATGTTTGGCCCGAAATTGCATCTGCATTGAATTTGAGCGGTGAATTACCCAGCGCAAAACAATATTGCCCAGAAAAATAAACGGCTTTTTGGTTATGATCGGAAAATAATTTTATAATTCAGCTGTTGCGAATAGGGTGGACAGGGATTTCTTTTCCGAAAATCGCCTAAGCAAATCCCACGCCAACCCAATACATATGTATCCAAATTATTTGACGTGGATTCGTAATATTTTCTAGAAGGCTATAAAAATGCGGCATATTTACAAATATTCCGACATTCCACGATACTTTGTTTCCACTCGAGGCTTTTTACATTGTGGAAAATGTATACCACCAACCATCTAAACTTAGCTTGGTTTAAAGCGTTTTTTCTTTCACCCCTTCTTATTTTTCGGGGAGGGGTTACGCTTCCTCCTACCCCCTTCCCGAAACTTGGACAAAAAGGGGTCCGCAAGTCGTTTCCGCGTCCGAAATTGTTTTGGCGAGGAAGCCAAATCATCGGTTTACTAAAATATTAACCTCATTTTGGTTTCTGGGGGGTGCCTTAAATGACCCCCCTCCTCTCCTGCAGTGGCCCCCAAGGGTGCCACATGAGGGCTTCAAAAAATTGCCGCGAAACCCCAAGAATACCTCAATATGCTCTCAAGAAGCCCCGAAGAGATCCCCAAGAGGCTCCGGGACACCCTCCAGAGGCACCCAAAATGCTCCAACAAGCCTTGGCTAGAATGCCGAATCATTCATTTAGATCTTAACAAGATGTTGGCCTATTTGAGGAAAGGTGCTGATGAAGATGACTTCAAAAGCGCCTGGGAGAGCCTAAAATGACCTCCCAAATGGCTCAATATACCGTACAATAAACCACTCCAAGACGGCTCCAAGTGGCCAAAGAGCTCTCCCCAAAGACCCCGAAGAGGCCAAAACCTTAGGAAAATACGTGTTTTGCTTTCTCGCCTTTTCGCTTCCGATGGCCATCCGAGGCCTCAAAATGACTCCAAGAGGGCTCCCAGAAAAGCTCCAAAGAACCCCAAAACGGTTTCAAGAGGGCCTAAGACCGCTCCAAACGCCCAAGAGGCAATTTGTTGAGCTCCCGAATGGCAACACTAACTAATGTTTGTTTCTTGTTCGATCGATGCCCCAAAATGGCCTAAAAAGCGCTCCCAACTAAGGGGCAACAGTGGATTCAATAACCGAACACAAGCTTCAATGACCGAACACAATTTCCAATAACAACCACCACGGGTTTCCCCGGGACGTCGGACGACGACTCGTTCGACGATCTCCGTCCAACGCAATATCAAACAATCTGTGGAGAATGCATTTCGACTAGTGGGAGTCACCGTCATAACGCTGATTTGTTGATACCCAACTATCGTATGCCATACCGAATCCCATTGAAAGACTGTTGAACCGTAGTCGCGGTCACCTGTCTTCGAACACAGGGATATTCACCATCTAATTGAGCAAGACCACGTCCGAATCTGTCGTAACTGCCGCCCAGAATATGGGCATATTGAATGCAATTTCCCACCCGCTGCGTCAATGTTTGCGTTGTTGCTGTCTCTGGTATAGAGACCAGCACAAGCCCGCCCCTGGCACCCGCATCCAAATTAATCTACATTTTCCCGGAAATCTCCAGGAACTCTTGATGGACATAATATCTCAGATTACTGCAGTGGCACGGGACTTGGAGAACATATATTTCACTATGAGGATTGGTTTGCGTAAATCACCGTCGCTGATACGTTTCCTTGCCGACTCCATGGGGGCTCCTCCGGGATTCGCCCAAGTCCCACATGTGGGAACGCAAGGTTTGGGAGATGCAGACGCTCTCCAACTCCTTAGCAATTTATGGAGGACCTGGACTTCGTGGGCGAATTGCGGAAACCGGTCCGGACAATCTGCGAAGCTCCACGCTGGTTCTGGGCGTGCTTCTCGCAAGCCTTCGGCATTGCGATATTGGCAACATCACAAATCGGCGGGAGCGTGGGAAACTCATCGTCTTGACGCCGCGGATGCTCCTCACACCGACCGACGAAACGAACGACTTGGGAGCAAAAACAATTTCAATATCGAATGCGATGGTATTTGCAGGGAGATTGGGAACATCTGCTACAAGAAATTGCTGATTATGGTCGATTGGTGGGTTCACCGCACCATGCACGAAAACGGGACGATCCGGAAAAACAGACATAGAACCAAGCACTTGGGAAGATACAGCGCAGAGAAATCCCACCAGCCCTTTGGGCGTGAGTGGTTTAGAGAGCCCGCTCTGTTCTCAACCCCCCTTCTTCCCCTTCGGGGAGGGGTTTCCCCCTCCCCCTACCCCCTCCCCTCCGCGGGTCGTCAGGAGGGTCAATTTCGACTCCTGGGAGGGCTAAACAACGACACCCCTCACGAGGATTCTGGCCCCGACGGGGGGAGTCAGAAAAAATGCTCCCCTCTTCTTTGAAGCCAAAATCATTGATTTTACTACGGTTTTGGCCCCATTTTGGCCTTCTGAGGGGGCAGCGCTAATTACAGCTCCCCTCTTCCTCGAAGCCGGAATCATTGATTTTACTAAGGTTTTGGCCCCATTTTGGCCTTCTGAGGGGGCAGCGCTAATTGAAGTTTCCCTCTTCTTTGATCGATTTCCTCCAAGATGACCCCAAGAAGCGCCCAGGAGGCACCAAGAGGCCCCAAGATGGCCCCAAGAGGCCCCCAGGAGGCCCCCAAGAGGATCCCAAACGGCCCAAAGAGGCCCCCCCGAGGCACCCAAGACGCCGAAAAGCCCATCAAGACGACCCTCTACTCGCCTGGGCGTCGTTTCTGGACGGGCAGGAGGAGGGGCCCGAACGACTCACACCAGGACGAGGGGCCCGAACAACTCACACCACGAGAAGCCCGAACGACTCACACCAGGACGAAGAGCCCGAACGACTCACACCACGAAGAGCCCGAACGACTCACACCAGGAAGAAGGGCCCGAACGACTCACACCAGGACGAGAAGCCCGAACGACTCAAACCACGAGGAGCGCTTTCTCTCCCTCCTCCTCCGCCTCGTCCTTCTCCCGCTCCCACCACAAGGAAGATGTACAAGGAGGCGGGAGGAAGGAGGAACAGGGGAGATATGCGGGGGCAGGCGGAAACACGCCTGAAAAACACGACTGTCGGCATGCTTCGCTAGAATTGCTGTTTTGAGATGGGCTGGTGGGGATACGCGAAGCGTGAAGAATTTCAAAAGCTCGTATTCTGGTAACGTCGACGGGCCTGGCTCCGGGCACACAAGTAACGTTAGATGAGCTGCAAGATCGGGAACTGCGCCCACGATTTCCTGCTGAAGAGATTTCGAACGAGGTCATGCACCATCAACCACGCCCCAACGTGCAGCTCGACTAAAAACATTTTCTGAACGCTCTCCGCTCTGCAGGACGGGGGTCTGCTCCAAACTTGGCAGGCATGCGATACGAGCACGTCCGCGTGGTCATCGAGGACGACAACCTTTTCGTCTTGTTCGTTCAATTCGCCGAGGCTTTCGCCCGAGCCGAAGTGCCCCCGGAAATCGCCTCAGGATTACGTCGGGGCTGCATGACTGCACTAAAGGAGAACACAAAGAAGTCAGAGGCGTACTTACCATATATGTAAATGAGTACATACATACATACATGAATCAATCGATACATGCATACAAAAGTAAAAAACTACACACATACATAATCACATAAGCAACTCATTACATACATTGATAAATGCAGAAAGCCATACTAGAAGCACGCGCGCGCTTCGCGCGCACTTAGATTCTAGTCACAACTGCGTCACGGCTGCCTCTAATTCCGCTTCCTTGCCTGGGTTGTGCGTCGGAGGCCTCTTGCATGGTCGTTGGGATCTCGTGGGTGGCCTCTCGGGTGCATCGTGGAGGCAATATGAATCCTGCTAGAGGGTATCCACGGGGCCTCTTGAGGAGCATCTTGGGCTTCCTGGGAACCCCCTGGGGGGCGCTTTCGCAAGCGACGGCAACGAGACTCAGGTGGAAGGTGACCTCCTCCTCCTCCTCCTCCTCCTCCTCCCCCTCCTGCTCCTCCTCCTCCTCCGCCTCCTCCCCTTCCTCCTCCTCCTCCTCCTCCGCCTCCTCCCCTTCCTCCTCCTCCTCCTCATCCTCCTCCTCTTCAATTCCAAGTCAACTTTGGGTTCCAGCCATGGGTGCATGTTGGCCCTGGCACTTGCAGAAATGCCTGCTCTGCCTCCCTGGTGCGAGCTCGCGCAGGACCCTCCCTCGGCAGCATCAAACCCTCGAGCCCAGCAAGCTTCCTTTCTCCTGCAACGGCGGCCACCACCCAACGGCTCCACGACGTGAGACAACACACCACTGGACAGGTCAGGACTGCCACATGGCACTAAAGCAGAAGCGCACGCGTGGAAGGAGGAATGGGACAAATCAGGGACACCAGCGGAAGAGGCAACATATACACACAGTAAGCAGGGACTGCGAAAGGGGGAGCAAGCGCGAGGACGAGGCAACACCACGGGCAGAACAGAGCAACAGCGGAGAACGCCCGGGGCCTATAACCGGGCAGCCAGGGGGGGCGAGAGCACGTGGGTGCCGAGGACAACAACGTGAACCGGGAGAGCGAACGCGACGACCCCAGCAAAGCACCTGAGCAGCAGCAAAGGTCAACAGGAGGCTCGAAGAGTAGGTCGGCGAGCGAAGACGTGCATGCATTCCGAATGGTTTCCAGGGATTGTCGAGCGTGACAAGGGTAAGAGCGCGGCCATGAACACCGTACTGCGTTTTTTTAAAGTGGGTCGTGGCCGTGTGGCAGGGGGTGAGAGCACGGCTATGTGCACGGTAGTGTGCGCTCTGTAGCAGGCGTCTCGGCCGCGTGACGAGGACGGGAACACGACCGTGTGCACCACAGACGATGTTTCACCAGGGTCCACGGCCGTGTGACAAGGGTGAGGGCACGGCCATGTGCACCCCGGAATGCATCTTGTGCACGGGATGGCGGCCGTGTGAAGCGGGTGAAAACACGGCCATGCGCACCGACACGGCCATGCGCACCGCAATTCGTAGACCCGAGGATCGCGGCCGTATGTCAGGGGTGAGAGCACGGCCGTGTGCACCGTGGCGTGCGTTCTACCACGGATCCTGCCCATGTGACAAGGGCGAGAGCACGGCCGTGCGCACCGGCACTGCGATGTGCACCGCAACGTGTGTTTCGGTGCAAGTTCTGCTTCGCGGCTGACGTGAAAAGTGTTTGGTGCAGGGGATCGCGCCCGTGTGTCAGGCGTGAGAGCACGGCCATGACCACAGCAGTGTCTTGTTTAGAATGGATCGGGGCCGTCTGCAAGACGAAGCCAGGGCGAGGAGAAAAACGGGAGAGGACAGATCGAGAATCTCGGAGCTCTGGTCGTGCTGGAAGATGTCTCGGGCGCCGCGGCCTTCTCAGAGCGTCGCGGAACGCTCTGAGAGCGTTGCCTGAACGCTCAAGAACGAATTTATCCTCGTCCTGGCTCCGTCCGAAAAAGGATCGGGGCCGTCTGACAGGGGTGAGGAGGAGGAGGAGGAGGAGGAGGAGGAGGAGGAGGAGGAGGAGGAGGAGGAGAAAGAGGAGGAGAGCACGGCCATGTGCACCGTAGTGTATCAAAAGGGGGGCTGGCCGTCCAAACCACAAGTGTGGCCAGCACTGCGACGGCATCACGACTGCTGCATAGATTTTGCGAGGGAGTCCCTGGCCAACGGTTGGCGGCACCGGGCGTCCCGCCCCCCCTTGTGGGGCTCTCCTGTGGTCTTGTTTTCTTGGACCACTCACAGAGCGCTCTTGCGAAACGCTAGATCGGAATAGTGATAAGGGCGGGGAGACAGAAGAGGACGAGAACGAGACAGGATCATAGACAGCGACATCTTTTGCCGAAGCAGGAAGAGGGCGGAGAACAAGGCGGAGGAGTATGAGGAGGGGGGGAGGCTCTTGGGAGGAAGGGAAGATTGAGGGATGAGGTTTGTGAGGGAAAGGGAAGGAGGAATGGAGGAGCGGGCGCGACTTGCGATGAAGGGGATCCTGGTGGAAACGGGCCCTGAACCCTGAGGTTTCCCCTTCGTGCTGGCCTTTCAAACCACGTAGTTGTTTAGCGGCCGGGGAAGGGGCCCAGGGAAGACAGGATACAAAGGAACAACTCAAGGACAGCTCTTCCTTCCCTCTCCTCCGAAATTGCTAGTTGATAGTGACGTGGGCCCCAGGGGATCTCGACCCCCTTCCCGAGGCCGATGCCTCGTCGAAACTTTTCTCTTGACGGCCGCGGGGCCAGAACACGACCCTCCAGAGGTCGCCTCATCAAAAAAAGGCTGCATCCGCCATTTTTCTCTGCGGCGCCACGTGGTGCAATGGTTCACGCCGGGTGAGCTTCTCGACGCGTGCCCTGCCGCCCGGTCAGCTGGCGCAAAGCCTCCGCTGCGCGATTAGAACCGCGGAGATCCCGGCAACGTCTGGCCGGATGAGACCTCACGTGACCCCGTGGAAGCCAGAAGGGAAAGCCTGGCCAAAGTCTGGTGGAAGCCCAGGGGCGCGCCTGGGGAAGACGCCCGCCTACGTCCACGGCTGGAACTGGAGACTCTGCGACAGCTTACCGCAGCCGCCCCCGTCTGACCAGCACCGAACTTATCCCCATCCCTAAGATTGACGAGCCAAATGGCGATGACAATACCACGCATGAACCCCCAGAAACTAAGGGAACCCCTAATATCGGCAAAGAGATAAGGCGAGCCACGCGGTACAGAAGGGGCCCGACCACAAGAAACCTTTCACAAGAAACTAAACCCTGAGATCCCCAGGACGTCCATGGATTTTTGGTGAAGGAATGTTGTGCTTCCATCGCAAAACCATCGAAACCCAAGAAACCCAGAACACTCTGGAGGCAAGCAAGGTGCTTCTTGGCATGGGCATCCTCTTCCTGGCTGGTAACCCGTCGCCCAGCACGGGATGCAGCGCTCTGGCCCAGGGACGCACCAATAAATAAACACAAATCCCAGGAATCCCCACATTCTCGCCATATTTTCTGGGTTGTCGTCTTCCCCCCCACTTCCTATATTCTCCGAATCGACGTTTCATTGTGTCTGTGCGTTTTTTCACCTCCTGGCGCTCAACCGCCAGCGCCGGCCTGGCTGGCCGCGGCCGCGGCCTCACAGCCCGCGCCAGCGAGGGGCGCCGGGGCAGCGGCAGGCGCGGTCCCGGGCGCGGCTCTGGCCAGCACCTGCCGGGCGCCGGGCCGAGGGCCACTCCTCCTCCTCCTCCTCCTCCTCCTCCTCCTCCTGGTGCTGCTCGTCCTCCTGGTGCCCCTGCTGCTGCTGCTGCTCGGCCTGCGCCCCTCTGCTCCTCCCGCTGCTCCTGCTCCATTTTTCTCGCGCGGCTGCTCGTGCTCATGCCCGTGTGCGCCTGTTCCTGGTCAACCTCCTGCCCACCCTCCCGTTCCTCCACCCGGTGCTGCTGCTTCTGAGGAGGAGGGAGGGAGGGAGGGAGGGAGGGAGGGAGGGAGGGAGGGAGGGAGGGAGGGAGGGAGGCAGGAGGAGGAGGAGGAGGAGAGGAGGAGGAGGAGGAGGAGGAGGAGGAGGGACGAGGCAGAGGAGGAGGAGGGACGAGGCAGAGGAGAAGGAGGAGGAGGAGGAGGAGGAGGCGGGAGACGAGGAGACGAGGAGGCGGGAGAGGAGGGGACGGGGAGGCCAGGCAGGAGGAGGGAGCGTCGTAAGAAGCATGGTGGAGGTTGCTCATGGCAGAGGGAGTCCCGTGGACAGACTAGTGCCACCCAATGAGCTTGCAGAACGTAATCAATGTTTCGAGACACGTTAATGGTGTGATTGTTGCCGTGTGCTGGTTTTCATAGATACGTATTAACAAATATGTATAGACATGGATGCATACTTGTTTGATCCATATATACATATCTATACACAATACATAATACAACTATGTGTATATATATTATATATATATATATATATATATATATATATATATAAAGATCCGCCAGCGTGCCCCTGTGGCACGAAGTCAAAGGCCGGGACCCAAAATTGCCAAATATCCTTGAGCGCGCCGCGTCTTGTCGCGCCGCGTCTTGTCGCGTGACCTTTCGGGCCCAAAGAAGGCCCCAAGACGGTCTTAGAGGGTTTCGGATCGCCGCATAATCGGCCCAAGACGCCCAAAGGCGGCCCCAAGACGGCCCAAGAGGCTGTTGTGGCGCCCCAGGAGAGCCCTAAAAACCTTCCAAAGATGGCCCCGACAGGCCAAAACCATTCCTTCAGTGTTTCAATGGTTTGGGGGTCCTCTATTTTTTGAGTGTCCAACGCTCCAAGATGGCCCACCCCAAGACCGCCCCAAGAGGGCCCCAAGATGGCCCAAGAGGTCTCCAAGACGGCCCCAGAGGCGCCCAGGACGGCTCAAGAGGGCCCAAAGACAGCCCCAAGAAGGGCCAAGAGTGGGAGCACGAACGGAACATCCAAGTCTTCCGCCCCAAGAGGCCCCCAGGATGCCCAAGGAGGCGCCAAGAGGTTCCCAAGAGGCTCCAAGAGACCACCAAGAGGCATCCCGCGACATCTCACCGAGTATCCTAGAGGCCTATGACCCACAACCAAAGCACGGTGGCGGGATGGGCCGAATGCCATTATCGAAGGTTGGGGGGTGTGAACGGAAGTGACCCCAACCAGGAAATCGGTTTCGGTCTCGGTTCGTGTCGTGCGTGCGGGCGAGGCGAAGCTGCGCGAGGTCCTGCACTGGTAGAGGCCACATGGAGCCCAAAGGGTCCCCCCTCTCCCCGGCGCGCCCCCCATGGTTGTCCCGCGGGTTGTCCCGATGGTTGATGGTTGTCCTGAAGGTTGTCCCGATGGTTGTCCTGCTGGTTGTCCCGATGCCTGTCCCGATGGTTGTCCCGATGGTTGTCCCGATGGTTGTCCCGCGGGTGGTCCCGATGGTTGTCCCGACGGCTGTAAAGATGGTTGTCTCGATGTTGTCCCGATGGTGTTGCCCCGATGGTTGTCCCGATGGTTGTCTCGATGGTTATCCCGATGGTTGTCCCGATGGTTGTCTAGATAGACAGATCGATACATAGATAGATATATTGATATTCTGAAAAGATAATTCGCTGTATAGGTTTCATGATAGATAGTCCAGTTGAAGAAACCATTAAGGAACTCAGAGCCATTGCAAATCGACCACCTCCCCCTTCCCCCCCCAACCTTCCCCCCCAACCTCCCTATCACCTGTAGGGTGGTCCTACCGGTATAATATAGGGAGGGAGGGAGGGAGGGATGGAGGGAGAGAGAGAGAGAGAGAGCGAGAGAAAGGAAAGCCAATACACACATTCCATTGATTGATGTGCAGAAAGAAGAGGGGGAGACGAGAAAGAGAGGGACAGAAAGAGAGAGAGAGAGAGAGAGTGCGACAAAAGAGTCACGTAAACGGTTACCTCCCCTCATTCACGAAATCTGGATGCGATACGTCAATACACTTCGGTGCCTATTAACCCCATACCGGAACCACACCAGCATACCAGCTACTAGACAAATCGCACGCTTCGTGCGCACCCCACATCGGGCTGCCATCAAACATGCCGGCGAAAAGATCATGACAGATAACCCAGGAGTCGCTTCCGCAGGGCGCAAACATTTCCTGGAGGTCTCCAGAGGTCCCTGGAGGCGTCAGGGGGCGCAAGATCAGCCACACAAAAAACATTTAGCCTGGCGAAGGACCCAACCATATGCAGCTGTGCGTACCGCAATTGTGAATATCTTCTTCGGTGGCGCTCCCTACCACGAAGCCTGTGAGGGGTGTGCCGAAATGGGTGCGGTGGACGCATGTGGACGGTGGCACTGGGGCCTTTGGTGAAGCTCCCTATTGGGCCACGAAGCGTGTGAGGGGTGTGCCGAAATGGGTGTGGGAGACGCATGCGGGCGGTGGCACTGGAGCCTTCAGTGGAGTTCACTGTGGGGTGACGAAAAGTGTGAGCTGTGTGCCGAAATGGATGTGGGGGACGCATGTGGACGGTGGCTTTGGGGCCTTCGGTGGGGCTCCCTAGGGGGCCACGAAGCGTGTGAGGGGTGTGCCGAAATGGGTGCGGTGGACGCATGTGGACGGTGGCACCGGGTCCTTCGGTGGAACTTCCTATGGGGCCACGAAACGTGTGAGGGGTGAAGGTGGGCGGTGGCACTGTGGCCTTCGGTGGAGCTCCCTATGGGGCCACGAAGCGTGTGAGCTGTGCCGAAATGGGTGCAGGGGACGCATGTGCCGAAACGGGTGCGGGGGACGCATGTGGACGGTGGCGCTGGGGCCTTCGGTGGAGCTCGCTATGGGGCCACGAAGCGTGTGAGGGGTGTGCCGAAATGGGTGTGTGGGGACGCATGTGGACGTCAGCACTGGGGCCTTCGGTGGAGCTCCCTATGTGGCCTATGTGGTGACGAAGCGTGTGAAGGGTGTGACGAAATGGGTGCGGCAGACGCATGTGGACGGTGACACTGGGGCCTTCGGTGGAGCTCCCTATGGGGTCACGAAACGTGTGAGGGGTGTGCCGAAATGGGTGTGGGAGGCGCATGCGGGTGGTGGCACTGGAGCCTTCGGTGGGGTTCACTATGGGGTGACGACGCGTGTAAGCTGTGTGCCGAAATGGATGTGGGGGACGCATGTGGACCGTGGCACTGGGGCCTTCGGTGGAGCTCCCTATGGGGGCCACGAAGCGTGTGAGGGGTGTGCCAAAATGAGTGCGGCGGACGCATGTGGACGGTGGCACTGGGGCCTTCGATGGAGCTCCCTAGGGGGCCACGAAACATTTGATGGGTGTGCCGAAATGGGTGAGGGAGACACATGCGGGCGGTGGCACTGGAGCCTTCGGTGGGGCTGCCTAGGGGGCCACGAAACGTGTGAGGGGTGTGCCGAAATGGGTGCGGGGGACACATGTGGACGGTGGCACTGGGGCCTTCGGTGGAGCGCCCTATGGGGCCACGAAGCGTGTGAGGGGTGTTCCGAAATGAGTGCGGCAGACGCATGTGGACGGTGGCACTGGGGCATTCGGTGGAGCTCCCTATGGGGCCACGAAACGTGTGAGGGGTGTGCCGAAATGGGCGAGGGAGACGCATGCAAAGGGAAGGCACTGGAGCCTTCGGTGGAGTTCGCTATGGGGTGACGAAGCGTGTGAGCTGTGTGCCGAAATGGGTGTGGGGGACGCATGTGGACGGTGGCATTGGGGCCTTCAGTGTAGCTCCCTATGGGGCCACGAAGCGTGTGAGGGGTGTGCCGAAATGGGTGTGGAGACCGCATGTGGACGGTGGCACTGGGGCCTTCGGTGGAGCTCCCTATTGGGCCACGAAACGTGTGAGGGGTCTGCCGACATGGGTGTGGGAGGCGCATGCGGGCGGTGGCACTGGAGCCTTCGGTGGAGTTCACTATGGGGTGGCGCATCGTGTGAGCTGTGTGCCGAGAGGATGTGGGGGACGCATGTGGACGGTGGCTTTGGGGCTTTCGGTGGAGCTCCCTATGGGGCCACGAAACGTGTGAAGGGTGTTCCGGAATGGGTGCAACGGACGCACGTGGACGGTGGCTCTGGGGCCATCCGTGGAGCTCCCTATTGGGCCACGGAGCGTGTGAGCTGTGTGCCGAAATGCGTTCGGGTGACGCATGTGGACCCTGGCACTGGGGCCTTCGGTGGAGTTCCCTATGTGGCCACGAAACGTGTGAGGGTGTGCCGAAATGGATGTGGGGGACGCATGCGGGCGGTGGCACTGCAGCCTTCGGTGGAGTTCACTATGGGATGACGAAGCGTGTGAGCTGTGTGCCAAAGTGGATGTGGGGGACGCATGTGGACGGTGGCTCTGGGGCCTTCGGTGGAACTCCCTATGGGGCCACGAATCGTGTGAGGGGTGAAGGTGGACGGTGGCACTGGGGCCTTCGGTGGAGCTCCCTATGTGGTGACGAAGCGTGTGAGCTGTGCCGAAATGGGTGCGGGGGACGCATGTGCCGAAATGGGTGCGAGGGACGCATGTGGACGGTGGCGCTGGGGCCTTCGGTGGAGCTCGCTATGGGGCCACGAAGCGTGTGAGGTGTGTGTGCCGAAATGGGTGTGCGGGGACGCATGTGGACGTCAGCACTGGGGCCTTCGGTGGAGTTCACTATGGTGTGCCGAAATGGGTGTGGGGAACGCATGTGGACGGTGGCGCTGGGGCCTTCGGTGGAGTTCCCTATAGGGCCACGAAACGTGTGAGGGGTGTGTCGAAATGGGTGTGGAGACCGCATGCGGGCACCCCCACTAGGGCTTTCGGTGGAGCTCCCTATGGGGCCACGAAGCGTGTGAGGGGTGTGCCGAAATGGGTGTGGGGAGCGCATGCGGGCACCCCCACTTGGGCCTTCGGTGGAGCTCTCTATGGGGCCACGAAACGTGTGAGGGGTGTGCCAAAGTGAGGTGGGTGACGGGAGGAGGGAGGAGCGGGAGGATGAGGAGCGGAGAGGAGAGGAACGCGGATATCGTCTCTTCAAAACGAGGACCCAACACCACAGGATGGGTGGGAAAACCTGAATCCACAAGGTCAGTCCTGGCTGGACTCTGGCGGAGTGCGAGACCGAGTGCATCGACCCACGTCCCCCCTGGAGCCTCAGGCGGGAGCTGCGCGATGGCCGCGCGCATACTCGCCTTGGCGTCCTTGCGGCGTGGAGGACCCTCAACCCCCATCGGACATCCCGCCTCCGCCCACCTCCTCCCTCTCTTCCCCCCCGCTTTCGTCACTCACCCTTCTCGACCTCCTGTTTCCCTCCGGTTCCTCCTCCTCCTCCTCCTCCTCCTCCTCCTCCTCCTCCTCCTCCTCCTCCCTCCCCTTCCCCTCCCCTGCACTTCCTCAGTCTCCCCAGTCTCCTCCTCCTCCTCCTCCTCCTCCTCCTCCTCCGCCTCCACCTCCTCCCTTTTTTTTCCCCCCTCTTCAATCAATTTCCCTGCATGCTCTCCTCCACAGCCTCACATTTGTGCTCATCTCTCCCTTGTTCCTCGTCTTCTAATCCAGTCCTCCTTGTCCAATGCAGTAACTCACGGTGCTCCCCAATTCCTCATGAAGGGGGGCCTCACGACTCAACGCAATCGACAGCGGCGAGCGCCATGCGGAAATGCTATTCCTCAAGATTGATCGACACACGCAGGCATAAACGCCATGAGGGCACAAGCGAAGAGGAATAGAGAGAGAGAGAGCGATGTGTGGACGGGGAAGATGAGATGTCTTCCTTGCTCTGCTGCTGCAGCGCAGGCAGGGGCAATCCTGAGAGCGGCCTGCCCGCTGCTGGGACACCGCGCGCGAGACCTCCGGAGAGAGGCTGGGCTGGGCAACGCTCGATCCGTGCTGCTCGCGAGCGGCTTTACAGTCGGACTCGATTGGACAGGACACGCGAGAGGACACAAGACCCTTCCGAGGGCCACATCGCCATAGGAGTGCAAGAAGGCGCGTGTCGCGAGGCACAGGACACAAAAGTACCCTTGAGCTGGCAGGGTCGACCTACTAATCCGGGCCGCCTGTAGATGCCACTCGGGTCCATGGGAAGACGGAAAAATTCAGGCTCCACAGAGAGGAGGGGGGGAATGGAGTGGGAGGGGGGAGGGCGAAAGGGAAGGCAAGAGGGAAGATGATATTCGATCTCACTGCCACCATCGTCATAAACAATGCCATGATTCAACGTTACGCTCGCACACTGCCACTACTGTTATGACCAATGTCTTCGACGCCCGCTTCCCAGACGCACGTGGCAGCCTCGCCTGTCGTGTCTGTCCCAAGTGCCTGTGACGGCGGGAGCCTGGCAGAACGGTGTTTGCCTTGGTATAGCCTGTCTTCTCTGCTGCTTGCATACTTGATGGGCGAATGCTTCGCAGCTGAATGTGCTCGATAGTCAAGCGCAACATTCAAGATTCTGCGCAAGATCAAACGCGCTTCCATCAACAGCATGGTGCGCACACCTGCTACGCGAGTGCCTAATTACCTCTGCTCGGCGGCCCCGCCCCACCTCCACCGCCAAGCAAGCGATCTCCGAAGCTTGTCAACGTTCACAGCCATGGATGTCATGGCTGTCCAATAGACGAGCGCGTTCCACTACTCGCAAAGGTAACTACTCGCAAATGACCCGGATCCGCCGCGGGGGATCTACGGTACATTCCATCAAGACAGATATGTGTTTTTTTCGGACGCTTGCGAGTAGGCACTTTGCGAGTAGTGGAACGCGCTCGGTGATCCGGTGATCCGAGGACCGAGAGCGCGCTGCGAACTGTTGACGCTCTGCGCACCCCCACCGGCCCGGCAACGGCCTCCGCATGGCCACCCGGCGCCTCCACCCTCGGGCTGCCTGATATTAGGTCGGGCCCGTCCATCTACAGGAGGAATATCCAAAAATAGTCAGAAAATTGTCTGGGGACGATTTCTTTTTAATACCATGTTTAAGAATTTCTGAATTTTGTTTTTTTAGCCTTTTCAATTTTTCGCCCAAGATCCCCCTGTAGGGGGACACGCCCGACCTAAGCTGAATGGGCGGCGCTCACCTGCACGGTCCTCTCGTGCCGGTCACCTTCCCCTTCGGGTTCGTGCACGCGGGGCGCACGGCGCTGGTCGGGACGGCCGTCTGGAAGCCCTACCTGTGCGACAGGGTTGCCCCTGTCTCCTGCCCTCGGGCGCGCGCTCATCGCGGCTACCTGGATGACTGCCGACGCTGGTCAGGTGTGGCCCACAGCCTACGTGCTCGGCCTCTTCGCTCCTGCCTGCCTGGGGTTCGTCGAGCGTGCTTCTCCGACGGGCTCGGGGTGCCCGTGGGCGGCACCGCTGCTCGCACATCTGGCCGCCTGGGGGCCTTCTCCCGCGCCGCTTTTTGCTGCGTTCACTGCGCTCGCTCACGGTGGTGTTCTTCCCGTACGGCAAGGTGAGCCACCTGTTCCTCCGCGTCTTGGCTCTGTCGCGCCACGTTGGCGTTCTTCACTCGCCCGTGCCCTCGGGGCGCTTCAAGTTCCTCATGCTCGGCAGGTGTGCGGCCCTGGGCCTTCGTGCTCTTCGTCTTCGGCACGCTCTTCTGTAGCTGCTCGCAGGCTGGGTGGTACTGCTGTACTTCCCTTCCGCCTGCCGCCGCTCGCCTTACTGTTTTTCTCTTTGCTACGGAGCTCGGCCCGCCCTAGCACGCTCGGCGCTCGACTCGTCTTCGTGCGCCCGCGGACCAAGAGTATAAGTATCCCCACCATCCAGTCCAGATGAAGGAGGGGGAGTTAGGGGAGTTAGGGGAGAGTTAGGGGAAGTGTAGGGGAAGTTAGGGGAGACCAGGGAAGTGTAGAAGCAAGATAGGGGGCCGCCGTTATCTGTCGAATGAGAAGGAGGAGGAGGAGGAGGAGGAGAATAGAGGAGTAAATGGGGGAGGAGGAGGGGGAAGAGGAGGAGGATATAGAAGGAGAAGGAATCGGCAGATGAGAAGCAGGAGGAAGAAGAGAACGAGCAATAGGCCAGAAGCCTCTTGGACGCCTGGGGGCTGCCTCGGAGGCCTCTCTGGCCGTCTTGGATGCCTCTTGGCGGTCTCGGGGGCCGCATGGGGCGTCTGGGGGGGCGATCTTGGCGGGCCCAGGGCCGTCTTTGAGCGTCTTGGGTGCCTCGGGGACCCTCTTGAAGCCTCTCGGAGGTCTCTTGGGAGCCTCTTGGAGGTCCTTTGAGCGCCTCTTGGAGGCTCTCAATGCGCCTCTTGGGGCCCTCTTGTGGCGCTCTTGGGAGCTTTAGGGGCGCTCTTGGAGCCATCTTGGAAGACATCGATACAACAGAACAGTTTTTTAGACGTGCTCTCCTAGAGTGCCTCACATCGCCTCTTGGGGCGCTCTTGGTCGCTATTGGGGCTGTCTTGGGGCTCTCTTGGGCCCCTCCTGGGGCCATCTTGGGCCATCTGGGAGCCATCTTGGAACTATCTCGATGCCTCGGAAGGCTACCGGAAGCGAACAGGCGATAACGCATAACTCATTTACATACCTCAGGTTTGGGTCGGACTTTCGCCTCTTGGGGGCCTCCTTGGGGAGCTCTCGGGCCACCTGGACAAGTCTGAGAGCGGTCTTCAGGCTTCTTGGAGCATATTGGGAGCCATCTTGAAGCATCTTGAGCCATCTTGGAGGCCATCTTGGACTCTCCGAGGCCTTCTTGGGGCAGTCTTGGGCCACCTTGGACGCTTCAACTCCTCGCGGGGCGCCCCGTCCAGGTCCAAGGGAGGGGGTAGGGGGAGGGGTCAAGACACCCCCTAGATAAGCAAGCCGTCTAGCTCACTCCGAAACGCCCTCCCAACGCATACGTAACACCCGAGCCTGAGCGTGTTCGGCGGTCGTCTTTGGATGGGCAGCTACTGGGAACGAAACCAAATCGCATGTGCGTGACGCTGGGGCGAGGAGAACGCGCGCCAGGCCCCCCTGGGGCCCGAGCGTGCCAAGCACGCCTGGTGCGCCCAGTGCGCCGCGTGCTCCGAGTGCGCCAAGTTTGCCGCGTCGTCAAGCCGCGCCAGGTGACCCACGTTCGGGGCACGTGCAGAGTGTGTCGGGTACGCCTACGCACGTGACAGCACGCATCGGGAAATATGTCGGCCCCCACCGTCCTCGTCGAAAACCAATGCCCATCACTATGTCTGGTGGGCCTGCGCATAGCAGGCCATACGCCACCACCCCCGCCGTCCCTGTTAAAAATCACTTGACAGTGATCGCGGGGTGGCCGCGCATGATCCAGATTTAGCCGCGAGGTGCATTTTGCATTGTTTTTTGTTAGGGATGGTAGCCCTGCGCACAGCAGGCAATATGCTGACACCCCGCCGCCCCTATCAAAAACAAAACAAAGTGCTAACGGGCCTCACGAACATGGCTCAAGACTTTGCCCCAAGATGTACTTTGCATTCTTATTTGACAAGGATGGTGGGAGCGGGCGCATCGGTTCTGGCCGCGCATGCTCCACATGTGGAGGCAGAATGCGTTTTGTATCGTTTTTTTGGGCAAAGATGGTGGGTGGGGGGTTGCGCATGGTATCCTCATTGTTCCTGGTTGGCTGCCGGTCGCCTGGGGGAGGGGGTTGATATCAATAAGGAACACTGTTAAACCCCTCCCCGCACAGGAAAAAGGGGGTTGGAAGAGGAGCATCTCTAGACCAACTACGCCCAGAGGGCTGGTGGAATTTACAGGCGCGATATTTTCCCTGGGCGTCGCAACATTTTTGGCGCGGGGCTGCGAACACGTGCATCAAAATGCCAGCCAGCATGAGATTCGCATTGCCATTAGGTCGGGCGTGTCCTCCTGCAGGCCGATTTTCGATGAAACATGAAACATACTCAAAACATACTGAAGCATATTTTAAAATGATAGAAACATCGTCCTCAGACTATTTTTTGACTATTGTTGAATTCCCTCCTGTAGAGGGACACGCCCGACTTAGCATTACCACCACTATACACATCGCCACTGACATCAACACCGCAATCCCCACTTCGAAATTACAGGCCAACGTCAAAACATTGAAGCCGCGCAAGTCTACATCAGTGGTGCATGCATGATACTCGCACGCGGGAGCATCCCAACCATGGATATAATATCCTGGCCGTCGTCGTCTTCACAGTATACGGCATACCAGCCACTGTCCACTGCCGCTGCCCGCTGAATTTGTTCGTTGGGAGCATGGCCATACGCGTCGTCGGCCAGAAACAGGACTGTGAGGAGTACGTCCGATGGAAAGTGATCCAGGGAGCTGCAGTCAATCTACGCAGGAGTTTAATTACGAGCTATAATCTTGAACCCTCATCTGCGCCATGCACTGGGCGAACTGTCTCAAACTCCCGCAGCGCGGAAGCCATGCATGCGTGCTCGGGAGAGGCGCAAGGGGAACGGCCTGCGCCACCCTCCAGCGGTCGACTACTTGGCCAAAAGCTTGACCGCACGCGCCACACGCAACGCAGCTGATTGTCTACGGTAAGGAGATGAGAGGGCGCCCAGTTGGAGGCGGCAAGGGGAATCTGATCTGGATGGGCCCTGTGGCAACCTGTCAGGAGGAGGGGATGAGGCCAGGCCCGCTCAACATCGGTCCTCAAATCACTCCTGGAGTCCACCTTGTCTACGGATCCGCGTTTGACCTTCCCGGGGCCCGAGAGCGGCCCCCCGAGGACGAACACGGCAAAGGACATCTCGAAAACCCCAGACCTCGAACCCCGCTCCTCCTTCCTGGTGGCCGCGCCGGTGCTGGGCCACCTCAGGCCCCCCCCCCGGGCCGACTCCACGTCGACTGTGGGTGGATGCGCGCGGAAAACACGGAGAAGGCAGCCGGCACCGTCC